GGTTACACTAACCTTATGCAAAATGGAGAAAATATTTCCTCCTTCTTTCTATACTATTATGGTGCACTTGGTGGTTCATTTGATTGAAGAATTGAGGATGGGAGGTCCAGTAACTTATAGGTGGATGTATTCTTCTGAAAGGTAATTGATTTTAAAACAAATTTCATTTATCTTAAATATTAACTATATTTGTTCTTAGATAAACTGTCATATCTTACTTTATCAATATTTTTTCTGGGAACTTCTCACACTGAAGTCATATGTTCATAATAGGGCTTATCCAGAAGGTTCAATCGCTGAAGTTTATTTAGCTATGGAAAGTTTAACATTTGTCTCTCGCTATCTCTCCGGTGTTGAGACATTATTTACTCGGCCTGTGAGAAATGATGATGAGGGTGAGCAAAATGAAATTGAAGAGTTAAACTCACTATGTCTTGGGCGTCCATTAAGAAAAAGCAGAGATTGTAATGTATCTTTTCGGAAGAGAAAGAGAGTATCTCGTAGTGTGCTTGACGAGAAGTTGCAGATACAAGCACATCTTTATGTCTTATTTAATGTCGAGTCAGTCATGCCATTTAGAGAGTAAGTGAAACATTTTTCTTTATATAATTCTTTTTCCTAGTTTTGAACTCTTTCCTGACATGTTTATCACTAATACTAATTTATTTAAGGGAACATAAATCAATCGTTAAGAATAGAAACCGTTCACGGCGACGACCCAAACGTTTTGAAAGACTTCATTGCCAAGAATTTAATGAATGGTTCCAAAAAGGGTAATTTTTATTATATTATGTTATTGTGTGGTACATTATTTTAATCATATACTCTATGTTATGGCATTCTGCATTATTATTGCATGTATCTCGTTTAGTAGAAGAAGGTGATGCAAGAGTGAGTGAGGAAATTAAATGGCTTTCTCTTGGGCCCCACACCTCTGTAAAGACATATTCTGGTTATTTTGTTAAAGGGTATCGGTTCCATACAAAGGATCATGAGAAATTCTTGAAAACACAAAACAGTGGCGTTGTTGTAACGGTAAAGGGTGAATGTTATGCTAGCTCCCGTGTTAGACAACCAATTCTTGGTATAATCAACTATTATGGCTCACTGAAAGATATAATTGAGTTGAACTATTCTGGTAAACTACGAGTAGTTTTGTTCAGATATGATTGGGTTGATGTGAACAAGAGGTGTGAAGCGAGATGATATGGGTGCAACGTTGGTTAACTTTTCGTATTTTGCACACACATGAACAAATTTGCTTGATGATCCCTTTGTTCTAGCCTCACAAGTCGAGAAAGTCTTCTATGCTAGAGATTGCAAGTCTAGGATTGGTTGGTTTTTAGGCATGTCAAAGTTAGGGATATGTTTCAAATGGGAAATAATGTTGATCATAGTATACATACGTCAAATGATGCAATATTTGATGTACCAAACTTGCACAGAGTTGGAGTCGATGATGATAATGGAGTTGATGTCACTCCAATGATGGAACAAGAAGTTATGCATGATGAAGATGATGAAGATGACGAAGCTAGCATTGCTATTACTTAAATTGATATAGTTCTTAGTAATTAAGTTTATTTTGTTGATATAGTTCTTAATAATTAAGTTTATGTTGTTCTGTACTGGATGTTCTTATAGACTTTTTATTGGTGATCACCAATAAAAAGTCTATGTTAAGTATAAAAAAGTACATAGAGTTTACGTTCTTATTGCAATAAACAAATTATGTATCTGCTCCCATTAGAATTCACTTTTAGTTAACAGTTATACCAAATTATCTTCAAATGTTCCAGCCCACCCTAAATTTCATTTTAATTAAATTATTAGTGTAAAACAAATTTGTAAAAAATTGACCAAAAAATGATGTATACCGGCTCAAGCCAATATCTCGCCCTGCTTACGCCATTACTTAGGTTTGACACGAATTGTAAGAAAATACAAAAGAAGTTTTTGTTTTTCTATTCTAATCTCAAAAGTAAGAAAAATAATGATGAGTTCACTAAAAGAAAAAGGTGAAATGATAAATAAATTAAAGGGATGAAATGAGAAAGTAAAATATTAGCGGGTTTAGTTTTGAAAAGTGTTCATATTCTTTGGACAATCCAAAAAGGAAAACGTATCTAATAAAAGGAACCGGTGGGCGTAGCTTAACTGGTAGCGAGGGAGTGCCACAAGGGTGAGGTCCCTGGTTCAAATCCCGGCAACTGCGATGAAATGTTACTATGCTAAAAATGCATAGGGCCTCTGCAAGTACCGGGGACGGAGCCCCACTCTCTATCTGTCAGATTGTGATTATAGTCCAATTTAAATCCTCTCATCATGTCGTCTGGTCGGTGTTGGGGCCCCCTCAGTGATGAGGTGTCATCCTTTTTTATATCTAATAAAAGGAAAGTGCTGGTTTTGTTCTTGAAATTTTGGCTAAATACTAGGTGTGTCTAAAAAAACTAAGTGTGTCTCTCTACAAAACTTGTGTTGGCATGTGTTGGCATTCTAACTTTCTATCAGAATGCAAAAAACTGAAGCACAATTATTTCAAGTACTCCTCAACTATAATCAGTGTTGCATATCAATTCTATAATTTTAAAATATATGTAATGAGAAAAGGGAAAAGTTAAGTATATATAAGGTTTTTCTCGGGTTGGTTGGTTTGGATTTTTATTTTTTTTACTTTCTATTCTTTGATTTTCATTGTTTTTCTAAATAGAAAATGATGATGATTATGATGATGATGAAAGATTAATTAAGATCAGAAAACCTTTTTCTACACAAACACTGATATTGGGCATTATCCTCTCGCTTTATTATAACTAGTATAACATGATAAAAGTAAATATATTTGGGGACGGTGTTACAAACCGGTTTAAGGGTGGGGACTCAAATTCTCACCTTTTTCATTCCAATATTATAGCTAAAAATAGGAGACAAACAATTACCTCCATTATAAATGGTTGAGACTTTGTCACAGATTGGAGAGGCAGTTGTGACCTTTTACTTTAACCTTTTTGCAGTTAAAGGCAGTGTTGACCCTGAAAATGTCTTGCAATACATCCCAAATCTGGTTATTGATGAGGATAACCAAATGTTACTAAGGCTTCCCAATGAGGTCGAAGTCAAAGAAACTGTTCGGCGTCTGATTCGGAATGATAATTTTGAAAAGAAACCTAGATATTTTGTAAAAATTCATCTTCGTGACATTTTTAGAGGAATGTGGTATAATTTTTCACACAAGCTGGTAGAGCTGGGAGGTGGAGGACACGGTGACAATGGTCTACATATTCTTTAAATATTTTTTACATATTTTTTTAAGACTTTTAAAAAGATTTTTTTTTATATATTTATTTTTATTTATTTTATTTTATTTAGTTCAAATTTTTATTAATTTATAAATATTTTATTATTTTTTATATTTTTATTATAAATAAGACTATGATTTTCTTATTAATAAAATAAATCTATTAGAAGTTATAGGAAAGTAATAGAATGAGAAGAAGAGACCTATGTTAGTCCTATTTTGAGAATAAGAGAATTGTAGTCTATTGTTGATTTTTGGGTTAATTTTAGTCCTATTCTTAAGGGTAATGCCCGAAGAAAAAAACTGTTATATGCTTAAAATAGGTAAGTGCGAGCATTGTTGTGATTATGGATTAAGATATATACAGAACAATAGCGTATAAGGATGTTTTCTTTTGGACTGAAATTTGCTGGTCTGGTTTGAACTGATCTGGTCTGGTCTGGTAACGTCTGGTCTTTGTGTATTTTATAACTACGGAAGTCAAGTCTGGTTTGATCTGGACTAGTCTGGTTTGGTCTGGTCTGGTCTAGGACCGAAAACATTTCAAAAGAAACCATCCTAATTTATCCCTAGTTTGTGCCCAAATAAAATTTTATCCACCCGTTTTATTAGAAGTATTTCAAAATTCAAATGAATTACGGAGTAAATTTTATCCCACCCAATAAAGGTAAAAGTTCACATTCAAGAATTCATTTTAAACGTATTAACGAGGTAATCTTAAGTATATACCAGAATTCAAGTTCAGCATAGGTAAATTAACCCGCATACAAGCATAAATTAAACCAAGTAAACGACTAATCTAAAGTGATCAGCTACACAAAATTGGATGATGAGATGAGTATGAATGAAGAATTTACTACCAAGAAATGAATTCGGAATTTGGACAAGAATAAAACTAGTGGTGGATTTAGATACAAATATCCATTTTGTGGCATCATCCAATTTGTACATTTTTTACTTGGGTGCATAGACATTGAAAAAAATAATCTATACACACAAACAAAAATTTCGATCAATATCCATATGTAATATTCCAATAATTTTTGAGTGGCTCTAAAACTCCACCCCCAATAAATTCTAAAAAAATGATAATTGTAAATATCATGAGGTGATGCACATGAAAGACACTGGGCGTGTTTGACATTCAGCGGATAACGGGTTATGTTGGCGAGTCGTTAATAGCGGTTTCGGTTGGTTTAACTAGCGGAATAAAATGACGGGTTGTCAGACGATGTTTACCAATTTAGCTGTTTAGTTATAAAATTATTAGAAAACGTCATTTTTAAAACGCTAACCCAAAACCCTCCCATTTGCAGCGTTTTCATTTCACTATTTCTATCCAGAAACGCCGGTGCCGAACAACTATTTACCAGAAACCTTTTTCACTTATTGACAACACCAAAAATGGTAAAGTTGTCATTTTTCGATTGCAACGCAGTTTACCAAGCTCCCCCACTAAACATGTGAAGTACTACGTATTAATATAGTGAGGTAAATGAAAGTGAGCGTCTGCCGTCTGGTATATGTGATTTTACTACTTCGTGTATGTGTGACGCAGTGACGGATTTGTTGCAACTATAACAAAAAATGTATAGTGCATTGCAACCATTGAAAAATCGGCTAAAATTATTGTATACTTCGTATGATTTTAACAATTAAGAATATCTTCAGCAATCAATGCAATGATAAAAACATTTAAGAATACAATGGAACAGAAACTTCTCATTTAATATTATCAAACATAAATCCGGAAATATACAAACGAATATCGATAATCTAAACAAGAACCCAGGTCGCGTTTAATCATGTGGGCATACCCGAATTCAAGCATAAGCTAAGGTAGATTCTACGGTACCCATAAGGTACCGTACCTTTGTCCACATGGACCAACCAGAATCATGCAGTTGAATTATTTAAATCTAAATTAAAAGGAATTTAATGATTTGGACCAATCAAATGCATGATAGGTACGGTACCCCATTTTTTAAATGGGTACCGGAGTTGTCACCATAAGCTAAACCTCATAAACGACTAATCTAAACTCTAAAGTCAGCTACACAAAATCGGATCATGGGAGTATGAATTAAGAATTTTAATTACAACCTAGAAATTAATTCGGAACCCTGACAAGAATAAAACTAGTCGAGGATTTAGGGACAAACTTCCACATTGGGACATCCTTCTTCCGAATATCATCATCTTCATCAGGACGAGGATTAGTAGGATGGCTGGAAGATGCAGTCGAAGAACATGAACTCTCGCAATCGGAGTCGAATTCCTTGCCGCAGTCCTCCGAGAACGAAGCCGAGGCAGAGTGAGTGGAAGAGATAACATTCCTCGACGGTTTCTTCACCGGAGCAATTCCTCTCGGCCAGGACCTTCGGGCGAAAACTCGGCGGGGTCGTAGCACTCCGAAGACCTCGGTCAGCGCAGGAGGGGCTGGATGTAAGCGGTTAGCGGGATTCTTCCTTACGGCGGCGATGGAGGAAGCAGGGACTGTCATTATCGCCATATCGGGTTTCTTCTGGATCACTGTGAATATTTGGAAAACTAAGCTTGATTAAATTTATTAGGAAACATTTATGGACTTCGTTTGATTAAATGATCAATTCCTTGGGCGTAAAGTATTTCATTTGATTGCAATCCAAGCACTTTTACCCTACTACATTTGTGCGTTCCATATTTATTAATTTTCAAATGTGAAGATAATACGAAGTATAAAGTTTTTAATGGTAATGTACGGTATGTACCTGCTATTACCATTTCTTATAAATAAAAGTATTTAATTTTCTTACATTTGGGCGAGATTAACGCATAATGAACTGGCATTCTTGTAATTTAACCAATAATTATAAAAGTAGTCTGTTTGAATAGAAGATTTCGAGTCCAGGTAACACTAAAATTGACTGAATTGGCTGATTATGCTGAAATTTATGAAGTTCTGGCTGAAGTGACTGATTCTTCTGATTCATTACTTTTTCTGCTTACTACAAAATTCAGCGCGCAAAATAAAAAATTACGTGTTTAGTGAAAAAGCTGGGTGATAAGACCGATAAGCCGAAAAAGGGGTCACCAAACGGGCTCTTCACCTAGCTTTTATTTTTTCAATCAGAGAATCCTTCACAAGTTCAGAAATGTATTCATTAGGATAAGCCAAAATTAAAATAACAATGTCCGTGACGAGGTCGTAACAAAAAACATATGAAATAAAGTTTAGCATGTTTTTAAATATTTTAATTTTTTCACTAATCTGCTCACTAATGTTTTCACTAATCTAACTTGTATGTTTAAATCTTAGTACTAGATAGTTTGATCTGGTCTAATCTGATTAATTTTAATATAGTCAGGTCGAGTGTGGTAATTAAATATGGGTTATGTGTATTTTAGTATTATCTAAATCTAATTTGACTTGTTTAAGTTCGGTCTATGATATGATATGCACTAATTAGTAGTGCATAAGTGTATGTTTTTATGTTTGATTTGTGTGTATTGTTTATCATTTTATTTAGTTTGTAAACATTTGTGTGATTTTAGTTGTAATTGTATTTTAATCTTCATTTGTAAGTGTGTCATGTTTCTTTTTAGAAAACTTTATGGGGTTTCCTATAAATATTACGGTGTACAATCAAGAGCGAATGTTTTTTATGTAAAAGAATGTGTGTCATAAGGTAATAATTTAGAAAACTAAATAGTAAAATAGTAAATATAAATATAAAATCGTAAATATAAATATAAAAGTGTACAAAATAGTAAATATAAATATAAAAGTGTATGAACTCTCGATCTTTACGTGGAGACCTGAAAGACAAAAACCACAACACTTTTTGGGCCAATGTCCAAGGCACTATCATTTTCATTAATACTCTCCTCACCATTACAATGTACAAGAGCTCCCATTAAAGGAATATTCAAACTATTCTAGAGAGAATAGAGTTGAGGAAGAAAAAGCATCTAAAGAACCATCATTTACATGGATGGAAAACCTCCTACTTACAGAAAAAGAGGTAAGGATAAAATCTACCCTAATGGGGCCGCATGGGGCAAAGTGGGCCAGATGGGCCGAACTGAATTGAATGGGCTGAAATAAGTCTCATCGATCGGGCTCTATGATGGGGTAATATCTTGAGTTCCTGAATGGTAATAGTCCGGAATAATATATTTTAAAACTATGAATGTAATTACCAATGTATTATGCCATCATTAGTTGTTGTTGTTGTCGTCACTTTGTCACTGCTGCCGCAGCTATAAAGTTACTAGCATCGGCACGCGCGTTGCGCGAGTGTCAGTGCCCAATGGGGGAAAATAGGCAATAAAGTAGCACAAAATTAATTATCTAAAGAAGAAGGAAAAATAAAAGCCAAACCGTGTGTCCCACATGATTTTCACATTAAAAAGTTTTATCATCAAGTATAGAACCCAGTTTGCTATTTCTCCCATTTCTCCGTTCACAGAAAATAAGTGTGTTACTCAGCACAATGCAATAAAGAATCTTTGAGAGTAAAAAATAGGGAACAATACGGAAAACTTACTTGTGCCTGAGAGCGCTTTCTAATAGGGGCGAGTGTTAAGACTGAAATACACAATAAAATATTAAAACATTTTAGCACACCAGTAAAATTGTGGCAAAATAATATTTCAGGCTTCAAATGAATACAAAATGGGTACAAAATCATATTCACTTGAGAGCTTTATCTTTGCTGTGAAGAAAGACAACATGATAGAAATCTTGTTTAGAAAATTACACTTTTTAAAGCTGCAAGTTGTAAGTTTTTAATTATTTGAAACCAATGCAGTAACAATATATAAAAAGAAACTTTAAATAGAAGGCTAAAATAAAAAAATGGAAAGTAAACATGAACATCCAATCTCAAATTAATTCATCAAAATGAACTGAAGTAAAAAGTAATTCCAAATTAATAGAGGAATTTAAAATCAGAAAGTAAAGATAATCCATAAAATGAAATCACATGAAAGAAGATAGAGAGTGAAGTTGGACCTTAGCAATTCATGAAGTTACAAATAGAGTTCTATTTACATCTGTATAAAGAAACCGATTAAGAGAAAAGTGTTAGTTTTATCATAGTTGAGAAATAGAAGTTCCAAGCCAAATAAAGCCTCATAAACCCACAAAAACACAAGCATGACAAAAAAAATCAAAAGCAAAAAATGAATAGAAATCAACCTCATCAAAAACTGATTGGGTTGTGATCATTGAACCAATTGCACTCTAAATAAATAATAAGCTGCGCATGAAACAATAAGCCAGACAACCAACTACAGGCTACATCAAATAAAACAATAAGCTATTCCTGATATTAGTGTGCACATAAACATCTGAACTTACATGTATAAACCAGACACATGCATTATTATATAGGAAGTCACACTGTCCAGTTCCTCAAATTCAACCAAATGATGATCTTGGAAATTTGATACACCAAGACAATAAAAAAAATCCAAAGATCTTAAAAAATTACAATCTTATGCAAACTGAAAAGGATAAATAAAAATTATCCTGTTGTAGGAAGGGGCTGAAACGTATATCATAAGACCTATAACTGAACACATTGCTTCTAAATGGTGTAAAGCAGTATGTCTATGTAAACATTTTCTCATGCTTATTAAAACAATCATCAAAGAAATCATTTACGAATGGTTTTGAGAGAGAAAATCAATCATACCTTAAGAATGGAAGATCTCCTGAATTCATTTGGATAAGGAACCATGAGTGAAGAAGAGTTTGAAAATATTTCTATGCAAAACTTCTCTCTGCACGAAGAAGAAACACTCGAGCAGCTAGGTCGTGGTTTTGATTATGTTGGTGTGTACTGAAGAAGAAGAAGAAGAAAGGGGTAAGGAAGCTTTCGTATAAATGGAAGTTGTGAGTCTCTTAACAAAACCTTTTTTTCTTTGGCTACTAAGGAAAAATTAGAAGCTCATTAGCAGAGCCGCTAGAACAATGGGTATCTAAGATAAATGAGATTGTAAATCATTGTAATGGAAACCTAAAGATCCCAAAAAAAATTGTTTAGCAAAAATTGTAAACTGGATGGACTAATTAGATTGTACAGAGTATAACTTACCTCTCTACATCTTATCCCTATTTCTAATAATTCCTTTGTGTCAAAAGAGCAGTCACTATTGATGGAATGCTCAGACATCTGAGAAGAAACAAAAAAGAACAAATGTACACATTAGTTGAGTAATACATACTTACAAGATGATATTGCACACGGCACACCTGAACTGATCACTCTAATTGGATAGTGGAAACCCATCAGCCAACCCCTTATAAATGAATCCCAACAACACTCTTTCTTTCCAACTCTCAGATCCATTCCAACATCTAACAAACACTCCACTCTCAAAAGAACTCAGCTCAAACTTCCATTACAAACAAAACACAAAGTACAGATAGTGTGTATGGCTATCAGATTGCTCACAGCCATTGTGAATGCCAAACAATTTCACACTCTTTACCCACTTAGATCAACAAACCATTGAGATGTTCCAAATGGTCTTTTTGCAATCTATGCTGGAGAGACTGAGAAGAAGAGATATGTGGTGCTCATAACATACCCGAACCATCACTCACTTCAGAGCTTGCTTAAGAGGGCAGAGGAAGAAATTGGGTTTGACCATCCCATGGGAGGTCTCACAATTCTCCCTGCAAGGAAGATACTTTCATCCATCTCACATCTCAACTCAGCATAAAAAATTGAAAAAAGCATATGGAAAAAGGGTTAAAATAATGAAAAAATTCCATCAAATAAGAGACATTTTGATTTCAGCTATATACACACACCAAAATTTATCTCACATTTTTAAAGTAGCGGAAATGGAATAAATTGGTAATGTAGTAGGAACTTAACCTAGAATTGTTCAATTACTCCAGATGGATGTGAAACAACACTGATTTATTCTAATATTAAGCAAAAAATATATTGAATACTAACCTGAGGATGGGAGAGAAGATTGAAGGGTGTTTTTCGTAGAATTGCAGTGAGCCGCAACGTGAGAAAGGCACCATATGATTGTGAAGTGTCATCCTGCTTTGTTAATGTAATCAATAATATTTAGAAAGAAAATTATGCAAAAGGGGGGAAATTTACCAAGGAGGAATACTTCATTTTTACATCTTGAAGGAAAATTCCACTTATGAATTCAGATGGTTTAAGAAATAACTTCTACGATATCAGATGAGCTGAAAGCCTAGAATCAGGTATGGGACGTATGGCACTATGGCTAGCTGTTTGTTCGTATGAGTGTAAGTTTGTAACTACAACATAAATTGTTCCCGTTTATTCGCATATTAGCTAATAGGAATGAGGGATTACTATAGGTTTAATAATAATAACAATGATGATGATAGTAATAGTGATCTGATAACAACAACAATAAAATTAGAGTCTTTTCAAAAAAAATCCACATAAAAAGATTAGTAGACTGATTCAAGTGTGTGAAGGTATTTTTTGAAACCCCATTTAGATCAGCCTAAACTAATTTGTTTACTTACCCAATACCCAAGCTACTTCCCCAAATTACTCTAGACCCTGGACTTCAGCTAATAAAGTAAACAAAGCTAATTAATTGTAGAAAAGTAATAAATGTACCTGGTGACTCAGGAGGGAGGTCAAAGATACACCTAAGAATTTTCGTTTCTTACTGGCGCGAAGAAT